GGCTATCGTTGTCCTTCATTCTTTTTTCTTTTAAGCAAGAGGGACGGGTATTGAGAAATCGACATTCTCGCCTTTTTTTATAGTTTCAAATCAGACCTCATTAAGTAAGTCGATGTTTGTGAATATAATCTGTGTCCATTTTTCTCTTATTCAAATTAGTGATTGAAATAAACAGTATATCTAGAGATAACAGTAAGAGTAATCATATATTTTCGTTAATAGAATGATAACAGTAATGGTGAAAATTATGATAATGGTGAAAATTACTATGAGAATGATGAAAATAATGATAATAAAGATAGCAATAACAATAGTCATAGTAGATATAGCAATAACAATTGTTAGAATGATAATCATGAAGATGAATGATATTAATGCTAAAATAATTATGAGATAGTAATGATGATAGAATTGATAATACTAATAAAAATAGTGGTGAATGGAGCAATAATGATAATTTTACAGACCTTATACAATAACTGTGGCCTTACTGTAGGATCTGAAATGATAGATTTTGGTTTCTATCATTATCATTATTATCACCATTACTATTAGTATTATATGTACTATTTCATTATCATTATTATTGTCTTTAATGTTATTATATCGATTTTTAGTATCATTGTCATCATTATCAGCATTATCATTAATTAAATTAGTGTCATGATCACTGCCATTGTCGTTATCATCATTATTATCATCATCACTGTCATTATCACTATTGTCATTAAGAAAGATGATAACGATAATGATTATAATGATACCTATATTATTTTCATTATCATTGTTATTATTACAATTACCACGGTCATTATCATTGTTTTTGTTGTTATTACAATTGATACCACTTTCAATATCATTATTATCATCATTACTACCGTTTCTATTAATAATGGTACTATCAATAAGGATCTTACTATTATCATCATAATTGTTCTTTATGATGTAATTATGCCAGGAGATAATCATTATCATCATACCTTTATTATTATTATTTTCCCAAACATCATTACACTACCAAATTATTAGCATTTACAGGATAGATTATAATGTCATTATAATTTGATTACGAGCAAGATTATGATCTGCACTATTTCCCTGACATCACACTAGTTAGTGCAGGATCAGTTCCCAGAAACGACGTCATAATCCACATTGTCAGGATTATTGTATTTATGTTAATTGTGTTTGTCAGGATTATTGTATTTTAATTTTTTTTTTTTTTTCATGATTTTTGTATTGTCATGATTTTTTCTATATTTATGATAATTGTGTTTGTTATGATTTTTGTAATTGTCATAATTATTTTATTTGTTATAATTATTATATTTGTCATGATTTTTGTATTTTTAATAATTGTGTTTGTAATGATTGCTGAATTTTCATGAATGTTGTATTTGTTAAAATGATTGTATTTGTCATGATTTTTGTATTTGTCGTTTTTTTTATGATAATTGGGTTTGTCATGATTATTATGTTTCTCACGAATTTTGTATTTGTCATAATTATTGTGTCTGGCATGATTATTCTATTTGTCATAATTTTTGTATTTGTCATTATCATTGTATTTTCAAGAATATTGTATTTGTCACGAGTTTTTCATTTGTCAGGGTATTTGTATTTATCCTTATTTTTGGTATGTCGCGATTATTGTATTTTTCATTTTTTTATATTTTTCATGATCGTTGTATGTCATGATTTTTTGCATTTGTCGTGATTATTGTTTTTATTGACGATTTCCTTTGTTATCGCTACCGGGTGTTCTTGTTTCGGTTGAATTATTATCATATTTATCATTATTAATTAATCATCGTTTCTCTCCATTGTTTATCCGGCTTGAATTAATGGAATAAAAGGTCTTATCCGCAACATCCTTGTTATATTTACGACTCATCATCAACTAATTATCATTACTATATAGTGATAATGATCATGATGATAACAATGATAATGATTACAGTAGTAATAATGATGGTAATGATGATGATGATGATTGTAATGAGGATGGTAGTTATGGTAATAAAAATGATTATGATTAGAATTAAATAAATATACTAATGATAATGGTAATGGTAGTAATTATAGTAACTAGTAATAATAACTTCAGTAAGGATAATGATAATAATAACACGTGATAACGTTCATAATGATAATGGTGATGATAATGATAATAATAGGGATTATAGTGGTATTAATTGATAATGATAATGATGATGTGGTGGATGAGGATGATGATAATGATAATAATGACAATAATGAGTATAGGGATAGTAACATAATTATTGATAATGATTATGATAATAAGGGCAATAACAATGATAATGGTATAAGTAATAAATTGAAATAGCAATGATAATATTCATAGTCATGATAATACTGTTAATAATAATGATGATAATAACACTGATAATGATAATGACTAGTGATTATTATTATCATTATTTATATCATTATCATCGTCTTTACTACTGTACCCTTATTATTATTATCATCATTGTCA